AAAGCAGCTATCAAATCTCCCCTCATTCTTCTCTTCTGCAGACTAAACAATCCCAGTTCCCTCAGCCTCTCTTCATAAGTCATGTACTCCAGCCCCTTAATCATTTTTGTTGCCCTCTGCTGGACTCTTTCCAATTTTTCCACATCCTCCTTGTAGTGTGGGGCCCAAAACTGGACCCAGTACTCCGGATGAGGTCTCACCAATGTCGAATAGAGGGGAATGATCACATCCCTCGATCTGCTGGCAATGCCCCTATTTATGCAGCCCAAAATGCCATTAGCCTTCTTGGCAACACGGGCACACTGTCGACTCGTATCTAGCTTCTCGTCCACTGTAACCCCTAGGTCCTCTTCTGCAGAACTGCAGCCTAGCCATTCGGTCCCTAGTCTGTAGTAGTGCATGGAATTCTTCCGTCCTAAGTGCAGGACTCTGCACTTGTCCTTGTTGAACCTCATCAGATTTCTTTTGTCCTAATCCTCTAATTTGTCTAGGTCCCTCTGTATGCTATCCCTACCCTCCAGCGTATCTACCACTCCTCCCAGTTTAGTGTCATCTGCAAACTTGATGAGGGTGCAGTCCATGCCATCCTCTACATCATTAATGAAGAATCAGAGGGGTAGCCGTGTTAGTCTGGATCTGTGAAAAGTGACAGAGTCCTGTGGCACCTTATAGACTAACAGACGTTTTGAAGCATAAGCATCTGACTAAGTGAGTATTCACCCACGAAAGCTTATGCTCCAAAATATCTGTTACTCTATAACAGGGGTCGGCAACATTTGGCACGCGGCTCGCCAGGGTAAGCACCCTAGCGGGCCGGGCCAGTTTATTTACCTGCTGACACGGCAGGTTCGGCCGATCGCGGCCCCCACTCGCCGCGGTTCGCCGTCCCAGGCCAATGGGGGGGAAGCAGCGCGGGCGAGGGATGTGCTTCAGAATTTGATTCTTGAAGACCTGCTCCATGATTTTTCCAGGGACTGAGGTAAGGCTGACTGGCCCGTAGTTCCCCAGATCCTCTTTCTTCCCTTTTTTAAAGATGGGCACTACATTAGCCTTTTTCGAGTCATCTGGGACCTCCCCCGATTGCCATGAGTTTTCAAAGATAATGGCCAATGGCTCTGCAATCACATCCGCCAACTCCTTTAGCAACCTCAGATGCAGTGCATCCGGCCCCGTGGACTTGTGCTCGTCCAGCTTTTCTAAATAGTCCTGAATCACTTCTTTCTCCACAGAGGGCTGGTCGTCTCCCCATGCTGTACTGCCTAGTGCAGTAGTCTGGGAGCTGACCTTGTTCGTGAAGACAGAGGCAAAAAAAAGTATTGAGTACATTAGCTTTTTCCACATCCTCTGTCACTAGGTTGCCTCCCTCACTCACTCTCTCCTGCTGTAATGAATGTGTAAATCACAGAGTGAGTGATTGCATAATGTTTTCTTATTCCATTATACACTTATTTTTCTTGCACAAAACAGAGATACGATGTTTATATCCAGGCAGCAGGGAGTTTTTAGGTACATCATGAGCAGACAATTTTGTCTCTTGTGTGTAAGTAATGACTTGTAAAGGAACAAGGATCTCCCATCATGATCAGTATATCTTGTCTTGTTCTTAACACAGAAGATTTGATGGGAATAGCACTGAGTATTAGTTTTAGCTATTATGATCACATGAAACAAGACACCATCTGAAGTTTCAGGCAGATAGTTTAATTAGTACCATGACATGTTGCATAACCTGCATTAAAAAGCTCAGTATGATGCCAGCATAGTGACAAAGGGTACATTTTACAATTGTCCCCATACAGTTTTTAAATGTCTTTCACCAATTAGAAATTAAATACTTTTTTTTAAAAAAAGTCAGAAAAATAAAATTTTCTTATACTACTCTCTAGACCAAAAAACTTGTCTAAATTGTGAACATTTTTATTTGAAAGAATTTGGGGTCTGAAGCTTTGAACAATGACTATCAGGCATGCTTACTACTGTGAAGAGACACCTGTGCCTGATCATAAGAGTTTGAGAAATGGGACTTTTGTTCGTTATAGTGCACTGATATTCAAAGCCTGATCCCACTAAAGCCAGTGGTTTATATCCCCAGGGACTTCAGTAGTAATTTGGTTTAAATTTTCCTTTTTGGAATAAAGATACATAGAAAAAAATACATTTAACCAATATCTCTTCTTTTCCCCAATTGGCACAACATAATTCTAGGTTTGAGAGTTTACTCCAAGCATAACTAACAACTCTACTGTAATATGGGAAGGATAGTTTAATGGGCTCACTACCTATTCAAAGTACTTAACGTACCAGTTAAAATGTAATGAGCTACTATATATGTATGCTGTCTATTTTTACACATCTGTGTACTAACACTGAAATGAAGCTTTGTAAATGTACAACAAACCTGGATGTTGCAATATTTTTTATGACTATTTGACATCACATCAGTCTGAAAATTGGTATATTGTGGCATATGAAACCAAATTCCATTTAGCCACTTTTTAATATTGAGACTGTAAAATTGAATAGGGTCCATGTAGCTATGAAGACAAGTAGAGTTGTACAAG